TTGATTTCTCGCATGCGATCCAGTTTACTTCCGTTTTTCCTATTCTACAAACTGATAATCACTTCTTTCATGAATTTTTATTTGAAATGAAATTAAAATTACTACTGCTTGAAATGGGTACGTGAAGTTTCTGTTGTTATTCTCGCCCTCCCGTTCCAGCCGAAGTACTCTATTAATAGAAGCAATTTTTTGAGCCTTGCCTTGTGTTCCACTGTTCTAAAAAAACAAAAAAAAAACATTTTTTTTTCCAGACAAGGCTTCTGGAAGAGAAAACTAAAACCAGAGTACGGCTTCAACCGACTAAACAGCAAACTGTCAAACATTGTTGCTTACGACTGCCTTACAAATTTAAGAATTAAAACTTAAAAATGCCTTTTTGACTTCCACTAACATTTTTTCAGGGAAAAACTGTACAAAGGCCAGAATCACAAGGATTTATTTCGTCAACGAAGACATTTTCAAAGAGTAAATTAGAAGAAATAAAAACGACTTTGTGCACGATTTCACAAACTTACTCCAGGAGCAACTTTTAGTACATATATATTGGAACCTCTTTCACAATCACTACTGATAGCAGCTAAAATGTGACAAAAGCAACCATTAATGAGATGTGGGTAAGAAGAGAAAGACGGACAAGTAGGACAACCGCAAGGTTTACGAGGAAATGTAAACCACTGTCTTTAATTTCATTCAAAGAACTACCGACAATGTCACTTATAATTTCATCCATTTGAGATAGCTAAGTCACTGGTTTCTGAAACCCTTCCTTAAAAGCCACAAATCTTTCTGATATGAAGTCATCGCCTCACCTGTTTGGGAAACGTATCGCATACGCCTCCTTAATCCAGCCATTTTTCAACCTAATAAGGAAAGGAGTGACTTTGTTGATGGGTAGTTTCGTTTCAGGGATTTTTATTTTCCGAGAGAGGACGTGGCGTGATTTCTTATTACGTATTTTAGAAATACGAGCACGCTTTGAAGTGTAACAAGCTTTTTTTTTCCATTTTTTATAGGAAATGCTTTGCGTGCGCATTCACCAACTGCAAGAGCCCCATGGATTCAGGTACACTTCTTCACTTAACCACACAGGTATGATGAGAAGACCAGCAGCGTTGAAAAAGTTGCAAATTGCATGACCGACGAACATTGTCGCTGGAACGGAAGTGGAGCTGGGAACACAGTGGCATTGTTCACTTCTCGTGCTGAACGTTAATGGTATTGATGACTCATTTGGCGGCCTGCCAGTTGCGTACAGTAGGTCTCTGTTGGCAACAGGCCAAAAGTGGCTTTAGCTTCGAAACAGAATTCAATGGAATTTTGCTGTAGAAACGTTTCGTTTTTTGCCTGTACGTTTGTTATGAAAGGTGTTTCTTTCGATTGATGTTGTTTGGTGGTGCTGCTTAATTCCTTCGTGAAGTTACTTTTCTTGAGTCTCGTGTGATTGTGCATTTTTTTTACCGGGGTAATCTCTGTCAGAATAATTTTAATCAACTATTTTTAGATCAAAAGTGCTTGCTTCAAATTTGGGAAGTTTCGTGCTGTCTAGAGAGACATTTTGCGTGTTTTAATTTTGATATGTTATATCTTGTTTGGATCAGTAAATTCTGAAAATTACGCTTGAGTTTGACATTTAATGGACATTTTTCATTACTAATATATTCTTATAGTGTCGCTACCCTTTTTTCTACGTTCTACTCGTGTTGAGTTTTATAATGCTGTTTTTTAAAAGTTTAAAATTTTAAGATTTGAACTTTTTTAAAGTTTTAATTCATTTGCGGCATGGACAAATGTGTCTTTTGCGGATGGTCACGGCGTGCAGCATATCCGGCTGTACGTTTTTTTGGCATTCCAAAAGAACCTGGTATGAAGCGTGTTCAGTGGTTACATGCTATTGGTAATCGCGAGTTTACCAACAAGGACCGAGTAAGGAAAAACTTTAAAGAGATATAGATCGTTTAATTTTATGTGATATATCTTTAAAGGACTCCTGTCTTTCAGGTTTGTAGTATCCATTTCCGTTCTGGACGACCTTCGAGCGACCCTTCTCATGAAGATTTTGTTCCTCACCTTTATTTAAATCGTGAAGCACCTCCGGAAATGATCCATTATCTCGACCATTTGGTCGATAATAAAATTGATGATTACTATGAGTTGGATTACAAGGTTGGGGTTTATTGCACCTGAAAAATTTTAAAATTTTTGATTGGTGTGGTGTGTTTTAAATTATCGCATGTGTTTTAATGATTCTGTAAAATGCCGCTAAAGTTTTGTATCATTATTTACCATTACTACACTTCTGTTCTTTTCCAGGAAAAGATTGTTAAATTCCTGTTAAATTTTTTGTGCTCATCACCCTTACTTTTTTAATTATTATTTTTTGAATTTTTTAATCAAATATCCTCTTATTTTATGGCTCATTGCAGACATCACTTTTACCAAATGCCACTCCTCCAGTATTGGAATATAACAGGACTTGCAGACCGAAAATTTTGAAACGTAAACACAAAGGCAGCAGGATTGCTGGTACCTCTAAATTTGAAATAAAATCGGATATTCCAGTTAGTGACTGTTTTGCATTAACAGTGGCGTAGTTCTTCCTTTAGTATCAATAATATGTCTGTTTCTTTTGAAATTTTTTTTTGTACCAACCGCTGTAAAATTTATTATCTTTGCTGTAACTAAAGCGTTACGAATACTCATAATTCATCTTTTTTTTTATTTTTTACCTTTGCTGCTCACTTATCAATTATTACTTACTTTATTTTTATCCCAAGAATTTCATATTTATTCCAGGAAGATGTTAATCATACTGTTTCTACGTCGCAGCAGACTATGCCTGAGACCTATAACACTTCGGAAGGAGTGATTGGACGTCCACATCTCGTAAATCTCCCTTCAACTTCTGGTCACGTTAAACGTGTCAGGTTGCAGCTCCTGCAGAGACCAATTGCTGAAGCCGCTGGAATTAAACCTGGTCAAACAGTCATTATAAAACGCCGCGTCCCAGTTTTGAAGTCTACTTTACAACGATTAGAAATAAAGAATGAGGTTTTGAAGTTTAAATTTTACAGATTTGTCATTTAGAATTCTTGCTTAATTCTTGCTTATTTTTTTTCCGCGCTGATGTCGTGCTTTATTTATATTGCAGTTTTTTTTTTTTGATAAAATTTGTGTGCGATGTTACAGATCTTTTTGGCTTTCAAGATGCAAAAACTTCAGGTTTGAGAAAATTAAGAATTATTCAATAAATTGTTTCCTGTGGTATTTAATTTCTTGCCAAATTTATAGTTCAGATTGTAGTTTATATTTTATGTTGCTTCTCTTTTTATTTTGTTTTTATTGACTTTCAAATGCAGTAGGCAAAGAAAAGATCATTACCGTACAAAAACAATATTAACTTAAACCAAATTAAGTAATAATTAGGAACGCAAACGTCAACTTATTAAAAAACAGACAAGCTGTTGCTTATACTGCATAAAAAAAGAGATGCAAAACTTTAATTATTGAAACTTATTTTAAGTTCTTGTTCTTTAAAATTATTATGACAAAGTGTTTTTTTTTTTTTGGGACTATTTTATCTGTTTTTTGAATTGGAGTTTTTAGGTGCCGAGCGTTTCCGGTGAAAATATCCTAGTTGCCGAGGAGCAAACGGTCTAGCCTCCCCTTATTCATTTCTCTAAAGTAGTTTTAATATATCCTCCAAATGCAACTGCTTAGTTGTTCTTTGTTTTTCATAATGATATTCGTTCGGGTAGTTTTGCAGTCGTGACTATTGCTTCATTTTTAACTCACTTGGTACTGTAATTAACACCTGTGCTATTTTTGTTACTTTTCCAACAATATTCATTTTACTGAGTTTATTAATGTTTAGTTTTCTTTGTATAAACTGTGTTGCATCATATAGCATTCAAAAATGGCATTTTTTAAAATTGTTAGGAAATTAACAAACTAAATATAGCTGAGGCGGAAAAGTTTTTTAGTTTTATTTTTTGATTATGCAG